CAGAGGGGCGTAACCACAGAGAGAGGGGGAGGGTCAGTAAGGGCGGGAGTCTGGTGGTAAAGGTGTGGGATTTTCGTCAGTACAGGTGTGGGGTGGAGGAGGGCTCAGGCGTCCTAGTGCGCGCGCCATTCAATCATCTAAACGGAACCTGAAAGCCAAACAAGGTGGTAAGTCCCCCCACCTTACCCTAGGGGAGGGAGGGAGTGGGGGAGAGGAGAGACGAGAGATTTCTGGTGGCAGCAAGGGGAGGGGGAGAGGAAGGGGTGGGTTACCGAGGAGGGTGGAGAGATTTCTGGTGGGGAAGTAGGAGAGAGGAAGGAGAGGAAGGATGGGAGGGAGGGTGAGGATGAGAGGAGAGGGGTAGGTGGGACTTCAATGCTGGAGAAGAAGGGGAGGGATGGTGGAGGGGGTAGAGTGTAATGGGTTGGGAGGAGGAAAGATTATTGGTGGGGAAGGTAAGAGGCTTGGTATATAAAGTAGGGGTGATGGCTGGGATGAGGGGGGGCGAGGGGCAGGAGGGGACTAGATGAAGGGGTAACGATAAGAAGGAAGGAAGGTTAAGGGGTAGAGAAATAAGAAGAATAAGAAGAAAGAGACGGAAGATAAACGAACCCAAACATATATATATATAGTATACATATACACTCCAGAAACAAATTAAACTTGGGGAAGCTTAATATTAAAACATAGAAGCTTTCAGTTAAGCTCACGTACACCCGTCGGTGATGAATGACCTTAGGACACTACTACAACCTTAAGTCTACGGCTACAATCAACTGCTGCCACTTACATAATCAAATTGGACAAGGATGAAAAGGTAGCTGGGGGGGTGAATGGTCTGGTCTATACTTACTGCACATCACTGCTTCCCCTACCTACTCTCCCCTACCTGACTAACACTACCCCCATCAGTGTCCCCTACACAGCTATCCCCTACTACTACCCCTTACCTATCCCTTGGCACCACCAGATAACCACACCCATTTATAAACACAAAAATATCAGACTTCCATATTGAATAATAATAATAACATAGCAACACGTTAATAACAAACAAAATACAAACAGTAAACACTAATAAAAAAAGGTAAAGAAATAGTAACCAAAACAAAAACAACAGCAACAACCAACAAATACAAAGACGAAAATAAAATATTAAAATAAAACAAGAATGAATATACAAAAAATTGCAACAAAATAATTAAAACAAATTAATCCCCAAAATCAACACTGAAAAAAACACACATCACTAACAGACGAAAAACTTGAGAAAAAATAATAAATAGATAAAAATCACACCTTAAGAAAACAAATTAAAAGGAATTAAAAGCCATAAAAATGAAACATCAAAAATTAAAAAATCAATAAAAACCAAATAAAAACGACCAAAATACAATAAATACTGACAAAGGTAAAATAAACGAAGGTGATGAGGTGGTGCTGAGGGGTGGTGCTGAGTGGTGCTGAGGAGGTGGTGGGGTCGTGCTGAGGTGGTGGGGTGGTGCTGAGGTGGTGCTGGGGTGGTGATGCTGAGGCATGGGTGGGTGGTGCTGAGGTGGTGGTGGTGGGGTGATGCTGAGGACATGGTGGGGTGGTGGGAGGAGGTCATGCTGAGGGGAGGGGTCATGCTGAGGGAGGTCGTGCTGGGGTGGTGGTGGGGTCACTGAGGGGGTGGTGGGGGTCGTACTGAGGGGGTGGTGGTGGTGGAGGGCCTGGGGGCGTCCTTCAGGGGAGGGGCCAGTGGACCAGGGGAACCTTTCATCCGCCAACTGTTTACTTCCCGAGAACAAGTGAAGTCGACAAAGCGCACCACCGTGTGTGTGTTGGCATCACAGGAGGACACAACCTGTCGACAAAAACTTAATCGCAGAGGATGGTCGGCAGGACTGGGATTTATTTTATTTTTTATTTTTTATTTTTAATGGAAACTAAATTCCTAAATCGTAGGTATTTTTTTCTTTTTATGACGATGAAAATTCAGATTCATTATTAGATTCCAATGCCTGGGAATTTTTTTTTTTAATTTTCACTTTTGTTGGAGATTACATTGATCATTAATCCCAATCGCTTGGATTTTAACTTTATTGTCCGGATTGAAACCTTCTTTTAGACTTTTCGACGGGGATTACATGAATCAATAATCATATATGACCCGGGATTTTTCACAGCAGTGGGAGATTTATGTTAGCCCTTCAAATTCTTTTTTGGGGAACACTTAAATAAATCCTCCATCACCCAAATTTAGGAGAAAATTTTAAACTTCACAATTACATAGAACGCACTAACCTAACCTAACCCAACCTACAACCAAAGCTAATCTAACACAACCTAACCACCTAACCTCCACCCTATACTCCACCCCAACCCAACCTACCTTAATCTAACCCACCCTACCTAACCGACCCCACCCTACCTAACTGACCCATTCTAACTAACCCTACCCTAACCTAACTGACCCAACCCTAACCTAACTGACCCTACCTATCTAACCCACCTACCTAACTGACCCTACCCAACTAATCTTACCCTAACCTCAACCTAACTTAACCACCCTCCTAACCGACCTACCCCTAACCTAACCGACCCACCCTAACCTAACTCGACCCTAACCTAACTGAACCCCTCCCTAACCTAACCACCCTACCCTAATCTAACCGACCCTACCTAACCGACCCTACCTTACCCTAACCGACCTCCCTAACCACCTAACCTAATAACCTAACCTAACCTAACCTATCCTATCCTGACCTCACTATATGCTGTCCTGGGTTTAACTAAGGTCATTGCCTCGTCTAACTGACCTGACTGGTAGAGGATTTATCTATATGAACAATGAGTTATATCTGTTTATATCTGTAAGTGATGGATGATTTATCATAAGGATAAATCCTTCCTTATTTAGCAATGTTTTATGCTTCTTTCTGTATTTCTTTTTAACCCTTCATTCTATCCATTCATCTATCTGTCTATCTATCTATCTATCTATTCTATCTATCTGTTCATCTATCTATCTATCTATCTATCTATCTATCTACACCTTAAAGCCAAAAAATGCAAAAATAATAATAATCAGGGAAAAACACTTCATATATTACATTAAGTATATTATTTTCTTTACCTGGATAAAGTTAGTTACAGAATTAATTAAATTTATTCAGTCCACCGTTTTCAAATTCTTTCAAAATATAAACAACGGTTATCAGATTAAATTATGACCCAGTTTAAAAGAAATGACATGTGTGTGTGTGTGTCTGTGTGTGTGTGTGTGTGTGTGTGTCATCATTTAAAAACATGATTAATCTTTTGCTTTTTTTTTTAGTTTTGAAAAGGATTTACATTAACTCAGCTAACCTAACCAAACCTATCACAAAATTGATCAACATAGCCTGAAGTAGTTTAATCAAGGGATGATCTGAGAGAGAGAGAGAGAGAGAGAGAGAGAGAGAGAGAGAGAGAGAGAGAGGAGAGAGAGAGGGCAAACGAAATGCACCGTAAAAATAGAGAAACAGACAGACAAAGGCAGACAGAGAGACAGACAGACTCGGGCATCCAGCAAAGAAAGACAGACGGGCACAGATAAAGACAGAGACGGACGGGGACAGACAGACAGACAGACAGACACCAACCCCACACGACCCTGAGGTCCCCAAGTCGCACAGTTTGACACACGGAAATGCCATTCAAAATTGACAAGTTAAATATGTGTGATCCTTGGGGAGGGGAGGGGGAGAGGGAGGGGAGGAGGATCCCACATGTGCGTATATTTATTGGGAGACTTACGTGTATATACACACACACAAAGATTTGATGAAGCAACTGTAATTCTATTTCTAGACAGCTGCCACATAAGTTAGACAGGTAACTCTCTCTCTCTCTCTCTCTCTCTCTCAAAACACGTTAGAATCGTGTTGTACAGTGAAACAATATGAGCTGCTAACAGTGCAGTGACGGGTAGTGTGTGGTGATGGTGAGATTTTGTGTATAAGATAATTCTGTGATGTATAGTGTCCAGTGATGGTGTGTAGGTGACTGCAGGAATTTGTGAACGAATAAATACAGTGTAGAGTAACAGTTAACGATGTATAGTGAACTGAGGATTACGTAGAGAAGTGTGTATCATGGGAGACCCGAGGAGGAGGTGTTGTCTCACGTGTCAACAAACAACCAATTATTATTTCCAACCAAGGAATTAATTAATGTTTTTTGTTTGTTTTTGGTATTAAGTGAGACAAGATATGATTATGTATTGTGATGGTTTATTGGCCCCAGGGTTTAACTTAACCTAACCTTAACCTGACCTGACCATAACCTTAACCTGACCTAAACTAATCTTAACCTAATCTAAACCAAGAAATGTTATCCTAATTAAACCTAAATTAACCTAACCTTAACCTGACTTAACCTAACTTAACCTAATCTAAACCATTAAACTTATCTTAACCTAACCCTTCTTAACTTCATTTAATTCAACCTAGCCTAATCTTTCCATACTTTACCTAGCTTACCAAAACCTAACCTAACCTCCATGGTAGCATTATAGGGTGGCTAATGTTCAGGTGAAATAGCAGGAGGGGAATTAGTGTCAGAGAAGTCACTACGACGCCCCCCGCACCACCTAATTCCCTCACATAAGAGCCCACTGATGCTTCTCCGTCAACATATTTTCTTCGCCGGTAATAAGAAGAAACGGAGAATAAACGGGAGGTGAGTCAGAGAGGCGATAACAGAAGCCGACCGATGATTCCTTACATCACAAACCTTGTAGTAAAAAAATGTTATATTATATCCTCTTATGGACTTAGTGAATGTAATAATCTAAAATAAAGTTATCAAACTGGCTTAGCTTGAAAAGTTCCCATTTGTTAAAGTCAACGGTGAAACGAACGTCCCGAAAAGTTCCTATCCAACCCCACCTATACCTCAAGCCTACACACCCCCGCCAAGCTAACCCGATTTAATACGCTCCACAAACATAATTTCACATCATTCATACATTAACATCAGCCGTAGTCGTGATTGATGTGCACGTTCATGCCTTAAAGAGATGGACAAAGCCGTAGCCACAATCAGCGGCAGGCATCCGGACGCAGGGTAAATGTTTGGGTTATGATATGGTGTGTGTGTGATGAATTTAAGGTGGCTCCGCGTTTCAGACCCAATCTTAATTAAGTGCACTCTAAAGGCTTCAAGAGGAAAATTGAGAGAGGGAGAGAAGAGAAAGAGAGAAAAAGAGAGGGAGAGGAGAGAGAGAGAGAGAGAGAGAGAGATTAACGAGTGTAAGAATGTGTGTGTGAGTGCGGGGAGGGAGTATTTTTCTGTACGTTCGTTTGTGAAAGAGTGTGAGTGTGTGTGTGTGTGTGTTTCCAATTCAGTTCTCCTGTGATCTATGGATGATTTATTTATGCGATATGAACCTTTATCATCAACACACACACACACACACATAACGTACAACCAACTCACACAAACCACAACACCATACACCACCACCACAATACTAAGCACCAACAACAACACCACATCATCACCATAACACTAAGCACCACCACCAACAACACTACATCACCAAAACACAAACAACATCACTATATCTCATATCACACCACTATTCCACCAACACACCACATAGCAATCACCACCAATCAATTAGCACCACAGCATCAACAACAGCACTACAACCACGCACCACGCAGCACACAGCACTACCAATAAGAACAACAGAACTACACCCACACAACACCACTCAGCACTACACCCACACAGCACTAACGAACTACATACACACAGCATCAACAGAAAAACCACCAAGACGTCAACAGCACCCGGGCGTCTATACAAGCACTTATCATGATAGACCGAGTGAGTTTTGGTCACCTGAGGCAGGTAATCTGGGCTCGTTTTATGGATAATGGAGACTGTTGCCCCGGGGTGGTGTTACTGGTGCTGTTATTGGATGCATTTCTCGGTGCCACTGTTACTGGTGCTGCTGCTATTATTGGTGCTGTTATTGGTGCTGCTGCTGTTACTAGTGCCACTGGAGCTGTTATTGTGCTACTGTTTCGGTGCCACTGTTACTGGTGCTGCTGTTGTTACTGGTGCTGTTGCTGTTACTGGTGCTGCTGCTGGTGCTGCTGCTGTTACTGGTGCTGTTGTTACTGGTGCTGCTGTTGTTACTGGTGCTGTGCTGGTGCTGCTGCTGTTACTGGTGCTGCTGCTATTAATGGTGTTGCTGCGGTTACGCTGCTGTTGTTACTTGTGCTGCTGCTGTTACTGCTGCTGTTACTGGTGTTGTTGCTGTTACTGGTGCTGCAGCTGTTACCGGTGCTGCTGCTGGAGCGCTGCTGTTACTGCTGCTGTTACTGGTGCTGCTGCTGTTACTGCTGCTGTTACTGGTGCTGCTGTTACTACTGCTGTTATTATGCTGTTGCTGTTATTGGTGCTGCTGCTGTTACCGCTGCTGGCACTTGCTGTTGCTGTTATTGGTGCTGCTGCTGTTACAGCCGCTGTTACTGGTGTTGTTACTGTTACCGGTGCCGCTGCCGCCACTGGTGCTACTGTTGTCACTTGTGCTGCTTGTATTAGCCGCTGTCATTATTGTTACCGTGCTATTGCTGTTACTGTTGCTGTTGCCATCGGTGCTGCTGGTTGCGCTGCCGTTACCACGGTGCTGCTGCTGTTAAGGTTAAGGTTGTTAATGGTGCTGTTGCTGTCACTTCGGTGATGCTGCTGTTGCTGCTATTGCCGGTTGTTACTGTTGTTGCTGCTGTTACCGTTGCTGCTGTCACTGCTGCTGTTACTGGTGTTGTTACTGTTACTGTTGCTGTTGCCACTGGTGCTACTGCTGTTTGCAGTTGCTGTTGTTACGGCTGCTGTTGTTACTGTTACCGGTGCTATTGTTGTTACTGGTTGTTAACGCCGCTGTTGTTACCGGTGCGGGTTGCTGTGTGCTGTTGTTACATTGGTGCTGCTGTTGTTACTGGCGCTGCTGCTGTTACTGGTGCTGCTGCTCGTCACTTGGTGCTGCTGCTGTTAAAGCAGCTGTTGTTACCGTTGCTGTTACTGCTGCTGTTATCACCGCTGTTCAATGGTGCTGTGTTGCTGTTATCATTGTTACTAGTGCCGCTGCTGTTACCGGTGCCGCTGTTCACTGGTGCTGCTGCTGTCACGGTGCTGCTGCTGTTACTGGTGTTGTTACTGTTGCTGCTGCTGGTGCTGCTGCGGTTACTGCTGCTGTTACTGGTGCTGCTGTTGTTCGCTCGTTGTTACCGGTGCTGCTGCTGTCACTGGTGCTGCTGCTGTTACTGGTGCTGCTGCCGTCACTTGTTGCTGCTGTTACTGGTGCTGCTGTTGTTACTGTTGCTGCTGCTGGTGCTGCTGCGGTTACTGCCGCTGTTACTGATGCTGCTGCTGTTACTGCTGCTGTTACTTCGCTGCTGTTAATGGTGCTGCTGCTGTCACTGGTGCTGCTGCTGTTACTGGTGCCGTTACTGTTACTGGTGCTGCTGCTGTTACTGGTGCTGTTGTTACTGGTGCTGCTGCTGCTGGTGCTGCCAGTTGTTACGTATTGTTACTGTTGCTGTTACTGCTGCTGTTACTGCTGCTGTTACTGGTGCTACAGGTTACTGGTGCCGCTGTTGTTACTGGTGCTGCTGTTGTCACTTGGTGCTGCTGTCACCGGTGCTGCTGCTGTTACTGTGCTGTTACTGTTACTGGTGCTGCCGCTGTTACTGGTGCCGCTGCTGTTACTGGTGCTGTTACTGTTACTGGTGCTGTTGCTGTTACTGTGCTGCTGCTGTTACTGGTGCAGTTGCTGTTGCTGCTGCTGTCACTGGTGCTGCTGCTGTCACTGGTGCTGTTGTTACTGGTGCTGTTACTGTTACTGGTGCTGCTGCTGTTACTGGTGCCGCTGTTGTTACTGGTGTATTGCTGTTGTTGCTGCTGTTGTGTTGCTGTTGTTACTGAAAGTTGCCTTACTGGTGCCGCTGCTGTTACTTTTGCTGCTGCTGTTACTGGTTGCTGCTGTTACTTGTGCTGGGCTGCTGCTGATGCTGTTGCTGTTACTGGTGCTGCTGTTGTTACGGCTGCTGTTGTTATTGGTGCTGCTGCTACATTGTGCTGCTGCTGTTACGCTGTTGTTACTGTGTGCTGCTGTTGTTGCTGCTGTTACTGTTGCTGTTACTGGTGTTGCTGTTGTCACTGGTGCTGCTGCTGTTACGGTTGCTGTTGTTACTGTTGTTGCTGCTGTTGATTGCTGCTGTTACTGGCTGTTATTAGCTGCTGCTGTTACTGCTGCTGTTACTGTTGCTGTACGATGTCTTGGTGCTGTTGTTGTTACCAGCCGCTGGTTGTTACTGGTGCCTTGCTGTTACTGGTGCTGCTGCTGCTGGTGCTGCTGCTGGCTGGTGCCGCTGCTGCCATTGCGCTGTTATCGGTGCTGCTGTTGGTGCTGTTGCTGTTGTTGCTGCCGTTACCGGTGCCGCTGCCGTTAGTTGCCGTCGCTGCTGTTGTTGTTGCTGCCATTACTGGTGTTGCTGCCGCTGCGTGCTGTTGTTGTTACTGCGTTGCTGTTGCTAGCGTTGTTGCTGCTACTCTGGTGCTGTTACTGGTGCTGCTTGTTGCTGCTGCTGCCTTGCTGTTGCTGTCAGTGTTACTGGTGCTGCTGCTGTTATGCTGCTGTTGCTGCTGCTGTTGTTGCTGTTGTTACTGTTGTTGCTGCTGGTGCTGCTGCTGCTACGGTGTTGTTACTGGTGCTGTTGCTACTACTGGTGCTGTTGTTACTCGGCTGCTGTTGTTACTGCAGTTGCTGTTGTTACTGGTGCTGTTGCTGTTGGTGCTGCTGCTGCTACTGGTGTTGTTACTGGTGTTGTTGTTGCTGCTGTTGCTGCTGTTGTTGCTGCTGTTACTTGTTACTGTTGCTGGTGCTGTTGTTGCTGCTGTTGCTGCTGTTGTTACTGGTGTTGCTGTTGCTGGTGTTGCTGCTGTTGCTGCGGTTGTTGCTGCTGTTACCGGTGCTGTTGCTGCCGTTACTGGTGCTGTTACTGGTGTGTGCTGTTGCTGTTACTGTTGTTGCTGTTACTGTTGCTGCTGTTGTTACTGGTGTTGCTGCTGTTACCTGCTGCCGTTGTTACTGGTGCTGCTGCTGTTACTGGTGCTGGCTGTTGGTGTTGCTGGCTGGTTACTGGTGTTGTTACTGGTGCTGTTGTTGCTGCAGGCTGCTGCTGTTGCCACTGGTGCTGTTACTGGTGCTGCTGTTGTTGCCGTGTTGCTGCTGTTGTGCTGTTGTTGCTGTTGCTGCTGTTGTTACCGGTGCTGTTGCTGTTGCCGCTGCTGCCACTGGTGCTGTTACTGGTGCTGCTTGCTGTTGCTGCTGTTATTGCTGTTGTTGCTTGCCGTTACTGGTGTTGCTGCTGTTACCGGTGTTGCTGCCGTTACTGGTGCTGCTGGTGTTGCTGCTACACTGGTGCTGTTACTGGTGCTGTTGCTGTTGAAGCTGCTGTTGCTGTTACTGGTGTTGCTGTTACTGCAGTGCTGTTGTTACTGGTGCTGTTACTGGTGCTGCTGGTTGCTTTAAGGTGCTGCTGTTGTTACTGGTGCTGCTGCTACTGGTGCTGTTGCTGCTTGCCACTGGTGCTGCTGTTGTTACTGGCGCTGTTGCCACGTTGCTGGTGCTGCTGTGTTTTGGTGCTGCTGCCACTAGTGCTGTTGCTGTTACTGGTGCCGCTGTTACTGGTGCTGCTGCTGTTACCGATGGTGCTGCTGCTGTTACTGGTGCTGCTGCTGTTACAGGTGCTGGGTGTTACTGCTGCTGTTATCGGTGCTGTTACTGCGCTGTTACTGGTGCTGCAGTTACTGCTGTTGCTGACACTGGTGCTGGCTTTACTGCTGCTGTTGTTACTGCTGTTCCTGGTGCTGTTGTTACTGGTGCTGCTGTTATTGGTGCTGCTGTTACTGCGCTGTTATTGGAGTTGCTGTTGTTATTGAGGTTGCCGTTATTGCTGCTGCTGCTGTTACTGCTGCTGTTACTGCTGTTCCTGGTGTCTTTAATGGTGCTGTTGTTACTGGTGCTGCTTAAATTACGCTGTTGCTACTGCTGTTCCTTTTAATGGTGCTGTTGTTACTGGTGCTGCTTTAATTACCGCCATTAACTCTTACCTTTCAAAATCCACGCTCACAATATTCATTAGTTATAAATATTGTGTGGAATATACAGTATACATATTAACCGTATATCCCACCACTTATACATATACTGTATAATTCCAACACAACACCAATGTATAATTCATCAATACAACACCTATGTATAAATCATCAATACAACTCCTATGTATAAATCATCAATACAACACCTATGTATAAATCATCAATACAACACCTATGTATAAATCATCAATACAACACCTATGTATAAATCATCAACACAACACCTATGTATAAATCATCAATACAACACCTATGTATAAATCATCAATACAACACCTATGTATAAATCATCAACACAACACCTATTAAATCATCAATACAACACCTAGTATAAATCATACAACACCTAATAAATCATCAATACAACACCGTACAACATCAATACAACACCTATGTATAAATCATCAATACAACACCTATGTATAAATCATCAATACAACACCTATGTATAAATCCCCAAAGATGAACCACTAAAGTTTCTTGCAATAAATATTTACTATAAAGGAGCTATAACTACCGCCTGACCTCCCAACTTCCTCCTGACCTCTATAACTACCTCAAGACCTTCTTAATTACTTCACGACCTCCCTAACTATCCCATGACCTCTTACTGAAATCTTGTGGCCTCCCTCTCGGTTGGCCTCGCGGTTACGGCAGGAGAGGCAGCCATTACGCAGATTGAGTGGCCGTGTTGGTGCATATTTCATAATGTGTGCACACCCGCCTTCCCCAGACCGACCGCCCAGCCCGCCACGCCAAGACGCCCGCACGCCCACTACACCTCCTCCCATACCTCAAGTACACACACACCTAACCTTCCTCCTCCCCACCCCTGAAGTACACTACTCCCCAGCACATTGCCCCCAGTACACTACTCCCAAGCACATTGCCCCCAGTACAACACTCCCCAGCACATTGCCCCAGTACACCCCAGCACATTGCTCCCCAGCACACTTCACCCCAGCACATTTCACCCCAGTACAATACTCCCCAGTACATTGCTCCCCAGTACACTACTCCCCAGTACATTGCTCCCAGTACATTGCCCCCAGTACACACTCCCAGTACATTGCTCCCCAGTACACACTCCCCAGCACATTGCTCCCCAGGCACACCACTCCCCAGTACATTGCTCCAGCACATTGCTCCCCAGTACAACACTCCCCAGTACATTGCTCCCCAGTACAATACTCCCAGCACATTGATCCCAGTACACACTCCCACATTGCTCCCCAGCAATACCCCAGTACACCTACTCCCACATTGCCCCAGCACACTACTCCCCAGTACACACCCCCAGTACACTACTCCCCAGTACACACTCCCCACACACTACTCCCCAGTACACTACACCCCAGCACACCACACCCAGCACACCACACCCCAGCACCATTCCCAGTCACACTACACCCCAGCACACTTTTCCCAGTACACTACTCCCCCACACACTACTCCCATTACACTACACCCCAGCACACTACTACCCAGTACCACACCAGTACACTACTCCCCAGTACAATACACCCCAGTACACTACTCCCCAGTACACACACCCCAGCACACTACCCCACACACTACCCCAGCACACTACACCCCAGCACACCCCCAGTACACTACACTCTGTACACCACACCCCAGCACACTACTCCCCAGTACACTACCCCCAGCACACTACACCCCAGTACACTACCCCCAGTACAATACACCCCTACACACTACTCCCCAGTACACACACACACCCAGTCACACTACTCCCCAGTACACTACACCCCACACCACACCCCAGTACACTACACCCCAGTACACATACACCCCAGTACACTACACCCCAGTACACATACACCCCAGCACACTCCCCAGTACACACACTACACCCAGTCACACTACTCCCCAGTACACTACACCCCAGTACACTACTCCCAGTACAATACACCCCAGTACACTACTCCCACACATCTCTGCACACACTACACCCCAGTACACTCACACCCAGTACACTACACCCACACTCACACCCCAGCACACCACACCCCAGTACACTACCCCAGTACACACACCTCAGCACACACACCCCAGCACACTACTCCCCAGCACACACCCCAGTACACTACTCCCCAGCACACTACACCCCAGTACACTACACCCCACACTACTCCCCACACACTACCCCCAGTACATAGTTTTATGAAGAGACACAATATAATTATACTAGCATAAGTATATAACAATATAAGTAATGGTAAATAATTTTAAATAATTTTTAAATGATTTTTTTGGCCTTTACAGAACAATTGCAAATAATTTTCAAAAGTACTTTCATATCCTGTCCATTTGAGAAAATTTTTCACCGAGCGTTGAAATGTCCGGACTGACACACACACACGGCCTGACAGACACACACACACACACGACCTGACACACACACACACACACACACACACACACGGCCTGACAGACAGACACAGACACAGACACAAACACACGACCTGACACACACACACACACACACACACACACACGACCTGACAGACATACAAACAGACAGACAGACAGAGACAGACCCACACCCACGTAATTTAAGCGCATATTAATAAAATAATTATTTTATTAAATTTGGGACTTTGTTATTGAATTTATTGAACAGGTGTGTCGCAGCTATGTGAAGCAGCATGTGTGTGGGTCAGGTGTGTTGTAGGTATTGCAAACAGCAGGTGTGTGGTTCAGGTGTGTTGATTTTTATGTTGTTGCAGGTATATGAAGTAGCAGGTGTGCAGGATCCGGTACGTTTATTTTCAGGTGTGTTTCAGGAATGTGTAGCAGGTGTATGCTGTAGGGGTAGCAGGTGTGTAGTTCAGTGTCACTAATTAATATTTTTTGCAGGTATGTGGAGGAGCAGGTGTGGAGTAGGACAGACCAGGTGTTAATTCTTCGTGAAGGTAAGACTCATGATCCATATTTTAACCTAACCTGACCTGACCTAGCCTAGCCTAGCCTGACCTGACCTGACCCAACCTGACCTAACCTAGCCTGACCTGCCCATAACCTAGCCTGACCTGACCTGACCTGACGTAACCTAACCTAGCCTGACCTGACCTAACCTAACCTAAACTAAACTGACCTCACTTTTCCACTCTTTCCCTTCCCTCCTCCTCCTCCTCCTCACATCTTCCCCGTCTACCTCTCCTTTTCATCTTCCCACTCTTTCCCATCCTCCTCCCACTCAATCCTTCCTCCCTCCCCCATCCTCCCATATTTTTTCTCCACTCCTTCCCTTCTGTCACACGTCCCTCCCCCACCCCCTCTACTCCCAATCTGTT